GTGTGTGCGTGTGTGTGTGTGTTGCAGATTATCACTACAAAAGCCCCTGTTCCACCCAGATGAGTAGATCCAAAATCCAAGCAGCTTTACCTCTATTGCAGAAAATGAACCCCACTAAAGATGAGTCAATCCAACAACGAAACTGTTTTACATCTATAGCAAGCAACATGAAAAATGGATCTGTTCTATCTTTTTTCTGACTATCCTTACTTTTGCTTTCTTTGGGGCACCCCTTTTGTTCCTTCTTGGAGCTCCCCTTTTACTGTGCCTCTCATAAACAAGGCTTGGCATGATGATTGGATGTGTGCCTCTGTCTCATTCCCCCGGCTCTTACTGCATTTTTTGTTCCCTTTCAGGTTTTCCATCACGTTTATGTCTATGGTGAGGTCCTTTTTTTGGCTTTTACCACTACCTAACTAAGGTTTGGTCAGCTGCTGAGGTGCAAGGGGAGACAGATTTCAAAATCAGCCCCACGACAAACGTACTTCTAACCCTCCCACTGGAGCTACCAACAACTGCCCAGTAACCTGGCTAGAAATGGTTTGCTCATCGAGTGGAATACCGGTTGTTTAACAATACTGACCATGCTCATGCACACATCCATGTACTTCTGAAGCTTGTTTTTTCTTCCCTTTTTTCCCGAAAAGAAGCATGCCCCGTCTATCCTGGGGTCTAGTGGGCAAGTTTTGCCACAAAATTGATTGCATGAGTGACAGAATTATGCTTCTCCCTTTTCCTCCTCTTCTTGCCTTCTTGCCCCATCCTCCACCTCCTCCACCTCCTCCTCCACCTCATCCCCCTCCTCCTCCTCCTTCTTCTTCTTCTTCTTCTTCTTCTTCTGCTTCTTCTTCTTCTTCTTCTTCTTCTTCTTCTTCTTCTTCTTCTTCTTCGTCATTTCTGCTCCACCTTATCATCATCATCATCATTGTTTCATGTGTGAATGGTTTTTAACGACTGTTACAAAGCTTTTACGGTTCCCCATTGTGCAGAAAAAAGGATTTTCCTTCCCCCCTCCCCCCTCCCCCGGAATAAAGGAAGGGAGGGGTAGCCCCTAACATTATCTGTTTATCAACAACTGCAGTATGCACCCATAAGCCGGGAACCAGAAAACGGGGTGTCTTGCTTGCTTGCCCACGATTCTTTCCCTGTTTGCACAGGCTGTGCTGCTCCCCCAATAAGACCAGATGCTGTGTTGTGCCCCATATGGGGCCAAGTGAATGAACTCACGAATCCCCAAACAACCCCCTCGCAGCCATAAAATCCCCCCCCTCCCCGCCTCCTTTCCTCCCCGGTCTCTGCACGAGACAAGTGAACGAGCACGCTTGCAAAAACTGGTCACCAGCCCCTGATCAGTTGGCTCAAATTGGACCAGGCCAAAATGGTCAATTGCCAGTGTTGGCACTCAGCAGTGAAGTAACCCTGACCGTCCCTCTTCCCTCTGTGCAAAAAGAGATGCCCAAGAAACAACAAATGCTGCAAACAAGTCCCTCAGGAGGACACCACTTAAAATTGGAAGGATGCAGAGAAGATTAGCATGACCCCTGCACAAGATAACATGCGCAAATCAAGACATGGTGACATGGTCCAAAAACGTTTCCTGTGTGGCTGAATGTGTACACAAACTGTTTGCGAGCACATCATGAGTTCAAAATTCAAACTATGTTGGGCTCGGATGAATACAAGAATATTATCGCCTACCTCTTTTTCAAAAAACTCAAAAGTTTTGGCAAAAAAAGAAAAACAAGTGTGCATGCTTGCTCTTCAACTCGAGGCGAAAGAGGGCATCGCTACTGCAGTCGACAGTAGCGCATGGAGCAGCACACACTGCTTTTATACTTGGAAAAGAGATAAAGAGAAGAGGATCAAAACAGGGAAGAGAGGAAAACACAGCAAAATGGGAACATATCATTCAAGAGAGAAAGCCACTGTAAGTCTGTAAGGAAATTATTTGGAGATCATTGGATAGGAAACAACGGCAATAGGCGCTTTCCTAGAGAAGCGACAACAGGTTCGGGGAGGAGGCAGGAAAAGAAGAATGCCTTTTGGACCAGGGCAAAGGAGTCGGGGTCGCACAGGAGCTTACTGCCATCCATCGAATACGCAAAGCAACATCTCTAGCCGTCTTGCTGGGAATCCTTGCAGCCACTCGTAGATATCGGACGAGACCAGAAAATTTTTCACTTGGGTAGCTGAAATTCACAATCCCAAAAAAAGACAGGTCACACTTGCTCCTATGAGTTACCTCCAGGGCAAACAACTGTTATGTGTATGTACTAATGTGCACCATTCATCTGCAAACTGGGTAGCCGCTGTGAGAGACGAGGAAAAAAAAAAGGAAAAGCATGAAGATCAACCCAGGTGAACTCTGCTGTAGAGGCTATAGTCTATGTGCTTTCACCAGTTATCATCCACTTAATGACAGGGAAATAGGGCAATAGGGTACCTGTAGCATGCACAGTTTTCCACATGGCCACCTGCAGGGCCTGACGGTAGGACTAGGAGCTCCAGGGGTTGTCTGTCCTAGTCTAGTGTCGTTTCGTAGGGGCACATTAGGCAGTCCAGGGGCTGTTTTCAGGACCAGCGTCGTTTCAGACCAGGGTCTGTCGTTAGGACCCAGTTTTATGCCCTGGTGCCGTTTCGTTTAGGCACAAGGCTCAGACCACATTTTCAGTTTGGGCGTCAGATAGTTTCGGCGCCATATAATTTGGGCACCAGATCCTGTTTCGTGAGGGCAGGCTTGTTGCGGCCGGACCAGCGCACCCAGTAGTGAGTAACGCAGTTTTCAGGCAGCATTCTAGTAGTCGTACTGGGTGCCCTTAGGCAGTGGTTGGCCGCATTAGTGGTGGCGATATCAGGAGGGCGACGGCGAGCTTGGAGGCCAAGGCTGCGCTGCAGTAGCAGCACTGTGGACTAGAGGAGTAGGCGATGAGGGACAGGACAGGGCGGAGGCCAGAGGAGACTTACCTGAGACTCACCTGATCGCGCATCGCTCCAGCTTGGTCTCCAGGCACTCCATCCTGCATCAAGTTGACACCTTTATGTCAAGTCAGTACCTGGTTTCCAACATCTCACACACACACACACACACACACACAGAGAGAGAGAGAGAGAGAGAGAGAGAGAGAGAGAGAGAGAGAGAGAGAGAGTTGGTGGGATCTGGCCTAAGCCCGAGTTGATGACGTTACGACATTGGGGCTATTGCCCGACTGAGACATTGTTCGCAGAGCGACTTTGGGTACTTATCTGAGACTGGGATTTATTGGACCTCTGGTGTTGATCTCCATCTCCTCCACTTCGTCTCTCTCTTCCTCCTCCTTCGTCTGTGGATGTGTGTCCAGGTGCAGCGCCTCTTCCATGTTTGTAGCGCAGACCTTCTCCCAGATGCATGATGATGGTTGCATGTGCAGTCTTGCCTGAGTCACCGATGAGTCAGATTCGGGTATCTCAGACTTCCGCTGTGCTATAATTGCTCTATCTCTTTGGGTCAGTTCTTGGTTCTGATCTTTGCCGTATAGGCATGTGACAGTTTGGTATCTGAGCAGATCTCAAGAGGAATATCCGCTCATCGAAGTTGTCATCTTGACCTCAAAACAGTTTTCGATTAATCGATTGGTTGCTTGATTGATGGATTAGTGGATTGATGACTTCGTCTATGGGTTCATTAATCAATTTCTGTTAATTATTCTGCAAGAGGCATCTACGCTAATTAGTACTAAATAGTAATCAGCGCTAATTTAGATTAGGCGCTAGCTAGGTGGTTAAGCGGTGCTAGTTAGTGTTCAGCACTAATCTAGGGTCAGGCAGGCACTAATCAAGGTTAAGTTGCACTAGTAAGTACCTAGCACTACTTAGCGTTAAGTGCTAATTGGGATAACTAACGCTTGCGGATTAGGTAAGCAGCACCTGGTTTAATTCCCGTAACTACGGTTAACAAACTGTTAAAGCACAATTTTAACCTTCAATTAATACCCTAATTAAGAGGTTAATTAATAATTACACACCCTAACGTAAACTAGCAGCGGAGGTTAAAACCTAATTACCTCCCACATTCTCCTCATTTTAGGTTCACTACGGAGCTAGCCCTATCTGCCTGCAGTCAACTGAAACTTCAGCGGAAGTCCGTCTTTTTCTCTCTCTTTGTCAAATTGAAATTGTTGCAAAGAAATCCCTGTGAGTTTTCTATTTTTGCCGGGAATTTATGTTTTTCCAGATCGCAAAGACAGCGGACATCTCCGGAACTCGTGATTAGCACTTGGAACAAGCGGGAATTTTTTTCTACTTTTGCAAAGTACAAATAAATCCGATTTTTTTTAATTATTATTATTATTATTATTATTATTTTTTAATATCGTGTGGTCCGATGGACCACGGATCAGATATTAAACTGATCAGAACAGATACTACACTTGATCTTAGCCAAAAGGCCGAGAAAGGTATTATTATAAATCCGAATTTCTAATTGTCCGACAAAGTGAAATTTTCTTCTGCAGACTCTGTTATCTTCTTTTTCTGTCTTACCTGCTACCTGGAGGTCAGTGTGCTATCTTCCTGCAGACTCACATCCAGTCAGCCTCAGGTGCAAATTAGCCCGTTTATTCTTTCAAAATAAGGGGAAAAAAAGAAAAATTGAAAACTCTTTATTTATCTTCGTTTTTCAAAAATTCAGGGGAAGGGGATTTTTTTTCCTTTGATTAGTACCTACCTGTCGTAGATGGGAAGGGAGATTGCAGTCTGTCATCGCATATGCTTGCCTGCCTGCCTCCTCCCCTCCTCTCCTGTGTTCTTCTGAAGTTCATCAAGTGACCAGGTAAGTTCCATGTCAGCACCAGTGCACGTCATCCAAGGCGCGTCAGCAACATGTCAGCAGCAGTGCCACGTCCTCTGTTCCATGTCAGCAACACATCAGCAGTACCGGTGCCACATCAGATCCGGGTCTGACACCCGGCTATTATCAGACGCAGCGCTAGACTTGCTGCACATCAGGGATCTGCAAAACCTGCTGCTGTGCCTCATCAGGATGCCGTCAGACCCATGCACCAGCTGTCAGATTGCAGCAGAGCCATGGCCGCAGCAGAATCCGTAGCCAGTCCAAATGGAACCCCCGCAGGGAGTCCAACTGGGGTTCCCATTGTACCAGTCGTACCATGGCAGCCCGCCGTCCAGGGCACAGCTGGTCCGGGGCTCCCGGATATGCCAAGACACCATCCCTGAGAGTCCATAGCAGACTTACATGCAAATGGCCAATGCCGAAAGGAAGCGAATTGTGGACGTTGAAACCGCTCGTGCTCAAGCTGCAGCACAAGCTGCTGCCGAGCAGCAACAACAGCAGGCCGGAGCTCCAACAGAGCAGCAGTAGCGGCAGGGCGCAGTGGCGGCAGCCAGAACCCGTCACCACAAGGAGGCGGCTTCAGCGCTGCTATAGCACGAGGTAGCATACGCCGACACTCTTCGAACTTGGCAGTTTACCCCAATGGAAAGCCACAGGATCCCAACCACCGAAGAACACACGATGGAAGAGATCTCCAAGACATCACCCAGCTCGTTCTGACCTGCAACTGGCAGCAGCAAAGGTTGGAGCAGCTATCACGCGTGATCACGGAAGCCCGAACGGCACCAACAGCAGCTTCCATGTCTGCACCAGTGACTTGGAGAAAGATGCCGTACATCCTACGAACATCACATCTGGAAGCAGCCAACCGTCTGTCCAACAGTTAGAGGAACGAATCGACCATGTGGTACCCTCGATTGGTGACATCAGCATGTTCACAGGACCAGCCATGATCAGTGAACAGCTTACTTTGCTGCAGACCAACATTCGCACGCTGCAGCACCAACCAGCAGGCAGCAGCAGCAGCACTCCCTGGCCGTTCAAGATGCCGACGTTCCGAGTGGACAAATTCAACGACTACCAGAAGAGTGATTCAGTGAGTTGGTGGCAAGCATTCACCACAGAGATGGGGATTCACAACATCCCCGAGGACCGGAAGACCTCGAACCTCTACCTCAGCACCACCGGTGCTTGCCAAATTTGGCTTAACCAGCTGGCTCAGCATGCAGGAATCATTGGAGAATCTGCACACTAAACTCACATGGGACAGGATACCCGCCAAGTGCAAGAAGAGGTTCATCGTCGACGACGCTCAAGCCCGCAGCGGGAACCAGATCTTCAGGATGTCCCAAGGAATTCAGCCCTCACGAGAGTGGCAAGGAATGTCAGAACCTCATTGCCATTCCCGATCTCAAGATGCCATTTTTAGCATCTTCAATGGAAGTTCTTCCTCCATTCAATTGACACCTTAAGCTCGGCCCTTGGAGAGCGCGAGAACTACACAAACTTTGACAGAGATATGAGACTAACTGCTTGAGATTTCAAAGCCTTATGCAACAAGTTTGCTAGTACAAGTTGTGGTCGCCACGGCTGCCAGCTACAACAACCAAGAGCTCTCTCTCTCTCTCTCTCTCTCTCTCTCTCTCTCTCTCTCTCTCTCTCTCTCTCTCTCTCTCTCTCTC